ATTAGAACGGAATAATTATACTAAAAATCCCAACCCTAACCTTAAAAATTCCGATTCAACTTAAATTCTGTACTCACTTACGGCATAACCACGTAAATATCGAATAGATTGAGGTAAAGTTATTCTAATTGGTTCAGAAATTAATATTTGAGTGCTGCCAGAGGAAAACGAGACTACAGGCTTTCGAATTTATTAACACAGTATTACATCTTCCAAACTCATTAAAAAGAATTAGGAAAAACAAAGAACTATTTGTATCACTAACACGTGTGCTTTATTAGTTATTGTTTAGTTGTTAGTATAATGAGTATAATTACATTTTTATATGAATGCCACGGTAAATCATAAAAAAGCTAGGATTTAACAATCTAAATATTTATCTTTTTTTCATTTGCCACTAAAAATTTCTAATTATCGACGGCACAAATAGTTTTGTGTCCAAGCTTTATAAATTAGTATCACTTAAATTATTATTTTATTTTTGCAAAATAGCGCACAAAGGTTTAATTTCGAATTTGTCCTGAATTAAGCCTAATTTAAGTCTAATTTAAGCCAAAATTCGAATTTATATCCTGGGCGTTATTTCTCGAAAATATAGTAAGAGTTAATTAATACATACTTTAAATCGCAAAAGTAATCTGTTATCTTTAAATAATTAATGAACGCATACTATGCGCAAAATATTCAACAAATAAAATTAAACTTTATTGTTATTCCACAATTATTAAAAAATATAATTTTTTTTTCGATCATACTAGGTCGTTTCCAACCTTTATTAAATAAGTTTGCTATTTATTTATTTAAAACACAAAACTATAAATCAAAGTAAACATAAAAGTGTTTTAAATTCACAGAACAGGTGACAAAATAAAATAATCATTAGAAAAAAAGATTACCATTAATTTTAGTTTCTAAATTGTAAACCAATTTATAATAAATTATAATAATGGAAAGATTTTTTTTTTTTTCCTCAAAAAAAAAAAAAGATGGATTTTATAAAGTAAACATGGAAATCATAGAAGTCAATATAACAAGTGCACTTATCACTAAAGCCGAATTTCTCTGATGGCAACCCATTGAAGTCAAATCAGCAACCTGCGCTTGTCCTGTAGGATGGCCGCCGCCTACAATAATAGTAGATTTTGGGTTGTTGCCTGCAACAACAACAGTTTGGTTGTTATCATCATCATCATTAACGTTATTATATTGATCAGCTGAATCAGTTGGGTATGTTCCTTCTGTGCAAGTTTGAGGAGGTTGAGCGGCGGTGGGTGGTTCGGTTTTAGTGCAAGGAGTAGTTGATCTATTCAATAATATGATCACAATTTAGCATATGACATAAAGCTCCCTTTAATATTTAAAAATAGTACTCACAGTGCAGTGGAAGTGCAAAAAGTGGGAGTGATGGAAGTGGTGAAAATGGTGGAAGTGGTGCAGATAGTACTGCTAGTTGTAGTGGTGGTGCTGCAGATAGTAGTAGTAGTAGTAGGGGTAGTAGCGGTGGTAGCGGTAGTAGCGGTGGTAGCGGTAGTAGTGGTGCTGGTTGTTGTTTCACTGTAAATCAAATATCCATATTAGTTAAATATATACATTCATTTTAGATTTTTTAAGAAAACTTTACCTAACGGATTCATCTCTTTTCTTAAAAGCCTCTTCACCATTCTCTGAAAGACCAAATGATGGATTCGCAGAAGCCATCACTGCAAATGCAACCGCGAGGAATACAAGTATAAGGAAGTGGTTACGTAATAAAACCATGATGGAATTTAGCAATGAGAGTGTGAATGAAGACTTTTAAAACAAAGAACGTGTTAAATGGATAAACTAGACAACAATTTGTGTAGAGAGCGGTGTGGCAATTTATATGTTATTTTTTCTTGATTACAAAGTAAATTATATCCGACGCGTACGACGTTAAACCTTTAATTTTTTTTTATAATTCTTTATTAATAGATACATTGTTTATGTGTTATTCTCGGTATTTCACTGTTATTGGTTGATGTGCAATTTTGACATAAACATGCATGCATCTAATTTATTTTCTGAATTTATATAATTCAACAAAGCGACTTTATTTTTACATTCAGAAATATATATTCAAAAAATTAAGCCATAATTGGTAAAAAGTAATTTATTTTTTCTTACTTTTTAATTTTTGTTTTAAGGTTAAACTTTCACATTTGGTAAACTTTTGCTGTGAATAATTCTATTTAGACAAATATAGTACGTATAAGTTAGGTTATGAATTTATTTTCTGAACTGAAAATAAATTTTTTAAAAAATATATCCAGTAAACTGTACATTATTATCATGTCCTATACAAACTTTGGCATGTTGAGTTATTTCTAACTGCCATCCTGAATGTTTTTTTAAAAAAAAATATGTATGTATTCATGCATGCAGAGTACGTACGTACGTACTGTACGTATGTCTGACAGTATTTATGTCTTAATAAATTCTGAATGATGATTGGTTGTTGTTTATACGTAATACAGAAGATTAACGACCACGTGCATAAAGATTAAGGTTTTTTTTTCTCCACTATTCTAGCTCTAGTAAGAACGTACTAAGAAAACTAGATCTGCGATTTAATATAAATTTTTCTTATTTCTACAATGTAATATATATTGACTAAGATCGAATGATAAATTTAAATTAACTGTTAATAGCCACAGAGAATTCGAAAAAGCTATTTCTGATAATAATTAAAGTATCTTGAATATACTATAGTAAGTTTACAGACTATACAATAATTAGTATAGAAGACTGAATTAATAGTCACTCTTAAATTAAGTACAACTTATTATAGTGAACTTTCGATATGGTGAAGAATTTTGAATTAAAGAATTATTAAACTTCAACTTGATATAGTGAATTACATCATTAAACCGTCAAAGACTAAACTCCCATATCAGAGCAAAAAAATGTTAATAAAAAAAATGAAATAAAATACTCCGTGATCTTGGTATAATGATTGGAGTATTTTATTGGTTTACATGTGAAGCGCATTAATTCAGAAACCTGGTAATCACTTTTAACACGTAGAATCTCAAGGTTTACATAATCATGAAGGTACCAGAATAGGACTCGTTCTTAGTAGAACTTACTACATGTTGTTATGGAGATTTACAATAAGCACTAAATCAGAAAGCAACGTTAATCTTTAGTTTCTAATAAGATGTGACCGCTTGCCAATAATCACTCCTCCAATTCTTCCTTCAAACACGTTATAATAACGTTGAAAATTATACGCTAATCTGGAAAAAAGTTCTCAGAGGCAATATGCGTTTAAAGCCGATTTTACATTAACGTTAACCACCTAATTACCGGTAATCGGATAAGGAACTTTTGAACCGGTTATTACTGGTTAATGTTTCTTTTGTCGGTTTCATTCTCTAGTTCTACAACTTTGCTATTTCAATTTCAGAATAATTAGCTTGTATTTCACTGCTTGAAAGTTTTTGATTTTTTATGGATTTTATGATTTAGGGATAGACCGTGGGTGACTACGTTTAAAGTATCATATTTTTGGGCTTTAAGACGAGACCAATTTGATTATGTGTTTTACATTACCCCCCTCTCTCTTCACTCCTCACTCACTCCCTCTCCCTTTCCCTCTCTCTCATAGTAAAAATTTGTCTTAGAAAATAGGGCAAAAAATTTTTTTATATATATAATGCGTTCAACCCCCAGAAGGTAAAGGGGAGTAACGTAAACACAGAATCAAGTTGGTCTCGCCTAACTACTTCTGCTTTAGAATTCACCGAATTTGTTTGAACATAACTACTGTTTGGTTCCTGAAGGAGGAAGAGCTTGAATATTCAAAAACTTCAAAACATTCATTTTCTATAACATAAAACTTTATTAAAACAAATGCGGGAGAAATTAAATTTCTTTTATTTCAAATTTCTTTAGTTACATTAAAGAACATACTAATCTTTCTTAATACACCAACATTCTATTATATTTTTTCTAAATAAAGTTGAGATATCTCATATAACATTATACTCCCACCCATCTTTTCACACAATAAGTAAACTTATATCTTGTTGATCTTACCTGAATATTTTAACTTCACTCACATTAAAATAACCTTTTGCTGAATGATGAATATGGTAAGGCATTTTTCTGCCGAAAAGTATACACAAATAGTCGTTATAAAAAAGCAATTTGCATAAAAATTGCTGTATTTATAAGATTTTTGATACAATGATTATATATTTTGAGTGGATAAGTTATGACTATTATATATCATTAACACGATATAAATTACAGTAAAGTTTTATTTTTCTGTTGATAACTTCGTTATAACGAGAATCTAATAGTGGTCTTAGGTAGTTGCAAATTAACCAGCCGATATAACATAATTGACTGGACAATGCTGCTAGTTTACGAACACCAATATCGCCACCAAAAATTCCACCAACACCTTAGGTTCGTATATGCTAGCGTTAAAGATATTTATATGAGAATTACCGTAGATTTAACAAGATACCGATATATCGTACAAGAAAACTTTTGTTAGACTCAAAGAAAGATGGTTTCTTATGAGAATTTTCTAAACTGAATGATTAATCTCTAAATATAATTTGCCTGCGCCACAGTGTGATCACATGAATTTGAAATTTTGAAATTTATGGGTTAGGTTGATTTGAAATTAGCGTCAACCCAAACCAGCTTGAAGTATTAAATTCTAATATAATACTTCATTTTTGTCTCTAGTTTAACAAATTGATTCTATTTAATGTATTTAGAATGCTCCAGAGTATAGTTCTCAAACCGACAACCCTATATAAAGGGTGATATTTTACGTCATTAAACCAATTTATTATAAGCAAAAAAATTTATTAATTTTATTCTATTTTTCAATCATCACTATATGGGGAATGGTCCAGGAAAACCTGCCTTCGGCACTTTTTGGTCAATTTTAAGATTTTTGATTCAAATTAAAGTTTTGGTTCTTA